GCATGAAAATTATTCTTTTTCTCGTGCGCACATACATCCACACACGATCCCTCTAAAAAGCGTTTTTTTACAAAACAAAAAGCGTATCCCTGTACGGGTCACTCTTCTCGCAAAAAAGAAACTATTACTATCGCTCCGTTTTTTTTCGCACGCGCGCTTCGTGCGCGGAAAAAACTCCTACTAGAGTTGGAGGTGGAATAGCTTTTTGTGGTGGTTGCATAAAAGGACCTGCAGTAGGCTCGTGCGACTGTTACAGATTAACGAACGGGGGGCGGTCCATCATCACCAGCTAGAGAGGGGGGTGGTATCCATCATCATTCGCTAGAGGGGGGGGTGGTGTCCATCATCAGCTAGCGAGGGAGTGGTATCCATCGTCAGCCGTGAGTGGGGGGTGCTATCATCAGAGTGGGGGGGGCGTGCTATCCATCGTCATCAGCTAGAGAGGAGAAAATAAACGTTGAAAAATTCCCAGGCTGGTGCTGCTGCTGCTGATTGTTTGAACAGGACGCTTCCGCCACCGCTTTAGATAACAGCAACAGCAGCAGCAGCAGAGGCGACACACCCTCTCGCCCACAATGAGTGTAGAGAGGTGCACAGCACAGCAGTGGTACTACATCGTCTAGGAACGAGCGTGATGTGTTACTGGTCCCGTGCTGTGATGTATGTGTGCCTCTCTCCAGAGCAGAGTCAGAGGCCGCTCCCTCCCGCCGCGTCGCAACACAATAACAACAACCAACCGATGGACTCTCAGAGACCCAATCAATATCTATTTCTCCTCTCGCTTCCTCCGCCGAAAGCTAACAGCAGCAGTAGTATAGGGCACACCCTGCTCCCGTCCCGCTCTCGCTGTGTGGTGTGTGCAACACACGCTGGTTGGTGGGACTCCCTCTCTCTCCAGAGAAAAAAAGGCGAAAAAAAGGCCGGCAGCGTTGAACAACAACAACAAACAACGGAGACAACAGCAACAACATCATCAGCGATGAATGAACCCCAGACCAACCAAACGTTCCCCGCTTCCTCCGCCGTCGCCAACAGCAGTATGTGTGTGTGTCCCGCCCCCCTTGTCCATGTTCCCTGTCTCTGTGTAGTGCGTGTCTTGCCAGTAGCAGCAGCAATGTGTGCAGCACGGCAGTGCGTCGTGGTTTCTTGCGTGCGTGTAGTTTGTTGCCCAGAGAAAAACAAAAATGACGACGCCTCCCGGGGATGCGTCCATGTGACATATATATTTGCACAAACGGTGTGCTATCTCGAGACACCGACCACGGATTGCAAAGGTAGCGGTTGGGACAGCTCGGGCAAAATATTACTTGTTGTGCGCAAGTTTTAGTTTGCAATTTGGTGCCGAGATGGTGAAATGGGCTCGAGTCTGCTGGGTATTTAGGGCGCGCAGACAGACACCCGACAGACAGACAGCCATGGCTAAATTTTCACGCCCCTGTGCATGAAAATTATTCTTTTTCTCGTGCGCACATACTCCACACACGATCCCTCTAAACAGCTTTTTTTTTGCAAACAATAAGCGTACCCCTAACGGGCCACATTTTTTCCAAAAAAAAACTATTACTAGATCGGGAGGTGGAATAGTTTTTTGTGGTGGTTGCACAAAAGTACCTGCAGTAGGCTCGTGCGTCTGTTACAGAAGAACGGGGGGCGGTCCATCATCACCAGCTAGAGAGGGGGGTGGTATCCATCATCATTCGCTAGAGGGGGGGGTGGTGTCCATCATCAGCTAGCGAGGGGGGTGGTATCCATCCTCACCAGCTACAGAGGGAGGGGGGTGCTATCCATTGTCATCAGCTAGAGAGGAAGAAAATAACGTTGAAAAATTCCCAGGCTGGTGCTGCTGCTTGCTGCTGATTGTTTGAACAGGACGCTTCCGCCACCGCTTTAGATAACAGCAACAGCAGCAGCAGCAGAGGCGACACACCCTCTCGCCCACAATGAGTGTAGAGAGGTGCACAGCACAGCAGTGGTACTACATCGTCTAGGAACGAGCGTGATGTGTTACTGGTCCCGTGCTGTGATGTATGTGTGCCTCTCTCCAGAGCAGAGTCAGAGGCCGCTCCCTCCCGCCGCGTCGCAACACAATAACAACAACCAACCGATGGACCCACAGAGACCCAATCAATATCTCTCCTCTCGCTTCCTCCGCCGAAAGCTAGCAGCAGCAGTAGTATAGGGCACACCCTGCTCCCGTCCCGCTCTCGCTGTGTGGTGTGTGCAACACACGCTGGTTGGTGGGACTCCCTCTCCAGAGAAAAAAAGGCGAAAAGGCCGGCAACGTTGAACAACAACAACGGAAACAACAACAATAACATTATCCGCGATGAACCCCAGACCAACCAAACGTTCCCCGCTTCCTCCGCCGTCGCTAACAGCAGTATGTGTGTGTGTCCCGCCCCCCTTGTCCATGTTCCCTGTCTCTGTGTAGTGAGTGTCGTGCCAGTAGCAGCAGCAGTGTGTGCAGCACGGCAGTGCGTCGTGGTTTCTTCTTGCGTGCGTGTAGTTTGTTGCCCAAAGAAAAAGGGTTTGTCTATTTACGCCACCGGTGGCGCAATTTCTTGAATGCGCCACCGCTCTTATCTCCGCCCGCAGAGCTTCAATTGGCACAAATTAAAAATTGTGGTGTAGCTATGACCCATAGCAATCATACAAGCCAACTTGAAGCAAAATCCATTCGGTCGTTGGAAAGTTATGCTCGAAAAAGGGGGCTCAGCGGCATCAAAAGGCGGGCACCAACCACATATTCCACCGTAACTCCGTGGCCAAAGCTGCAATCGGCGTCAAACAAATTGCGCTGGTCGACGGACGTCCATAGCCATCGTTCAAGCCATCTGGGACGTCCATCCGACCAGTAGATGCCGAGATATGCCCTCCCACGGGGGTACAGTGCCACCGTAGGGCGGTGGCGCATATAAGCTCATATGCGCCACCGCCCGTTTCTCAACGCGCAGAGCTTCAATTGGCACAAACTGACTCGTGTTGTGTAGCTATGATCCACAGCAATCATACAAGCCATCGGTAACCTGAATCCAACCAGTAGATGCCGGGAAATGCCCTCCCACGGGGGTACGGTGCCACCGTAGGGCGGTGGCGCATATAAGCTTATATGCGCCACCGCCCGTTTCTTAACGCGCAGAGCTTCAATTGGCACAAACTGAAGTGCGTTGTGTAGCTATGACCCACAGCAATCATACAAGCCATCGGTAACTTGAATCCGA